TTTTTGTCTGTTTTGTGCCAAATTAATAAATCAAGAATCACAAAAAAAACAGACGACCAAACAAAAATAAATTAATGGATCACTTTATAATATTTTTATTTTTTTGAGAGGCAATGTAAAAAATTTAATCATTTAAACGGCAAACTAAGAATTTTTATATCTTTGAAGGGGTAAAATGAGATTTACCCCAAATTTAGACTTTTATGGTTGTAAAATATAATGGAATTTTCGTACTTTGTATTTCAATTTTCACTTTGTATTTTAAAAAATTATTTTTTTTATATTACGCCCTCAATGTTATAATTTGGATCTAATGTAACCCTCGTACTAAAATTTATTTCAAATTCTATTAAAAATTGATGCACATGCCACGCAAAAATATAAATAGTGAATTTATATTTTTGTCTAAGAACAACACACATAGGTGGCAAGTATTAACATAATTTAAAATAAATATTAATCTAGGACCATCTTATAAAGGTTAAATATGAAAAAAATAACCTTTTAAAAAATAAAGTGGGAATCGAAATTTTTTTTAGGGTGCAAAGTATAAAAAATCCGAATATAATCATCTCTTTCTTTTTTAAGCAATTCCTATCATCATGTTATACAACAAAAAACACAGACTGTTTTGTGTAAGAAATATATATATATATATATATATATATATATATATACCCACGAGGAAGTGGAGAGGAAGAAGAAGAACAAAAAGAAGAAAAAAAAGAGGAGTGAGAGAATGGAAGCAGAGCTGAGTCGCACAGCAAAGATCACTTCGTCGTTAATATTTGGTGGGTTTGTGTTGCTTTATGTGCATCTCTATAATGTTTTGGTGTTGAAGCAGAAAAGGGTTCGATCAAAGCTTCAAAGCCAAGGGGTTGGAGGACCTTCACCGTCTTTTCTTTATGGAAACATTCCTGAAATGAAGAAGATCCATGTCCATCTCCGATCAACGACGATGACATCTCTGACAGACCACCAACACCATCACCATGGCGATGGCAGTGGTGGTGCTCTTTCTCACGATTGGCCTTCCACCGTGTTCCCGCATATAGCGCGGTGGCGGAACGAATACGGTAAATAATAACTATTTGTCCCAAAAAAAAGTTATTTTTCTGTTTTTTTTTTCAACCAATGAAAAAAAATTATAATTGATTAATTGGTTTGGATCATAATTACAAAATAAATTAATTGGTCACAAATTATTTTTTGTTTTATATGATAAATAAATAAGTATTTATTTTTCATCTTTTAAAAGGAATATCCACTTTATAGCTCTGATTTATTAAAGTCAGAAATAGAAAACAGATTACAGAATCCATCTCCGACCCGTTTATAGTCCGATTCGACAAAACTTTATTGAATAGCTGTAATTTGCCAGAATACTACCTGCATTAATTATTCATATCGGGTCAGAATATCGAATCAAATATTCACTTCGTAATGAATTTGGATAGAACTATGAAAGTAAAATGTGTTGGATAATTGGATCGAAACTTTTTCGTTGATTTTGGATTGACTGCAATCCTATCCAAATTCGACCCTTTGACAGATCTACCTACGCATAACTGGTGTTCATTACACTGGTTGCAGGACCAATATTCATGTATTCAAGAGGGAACATACAGAATCTATGCATAACAGATCCAGAGATGGTAAAGGAAGTGAGTCTGTGCACATCTTTGAACCTAGGAAAGCCTTCTTTTCTATCCAAGGAGAGAGGGCCTCTGCTAGGCCAAGGCATTCTATCATCAAATGGACAATATTGGGCTCACCAGAGGAAAATCACTGCTCCAGAGTTCTACCTTGACAAGGTTAAGGTACTTACTCTTATCTTGGAGCTCATTTTTAATATTGTGATGTCCCGAGCCCGCATTATACAACATTTTCTGCCTTGTGTCAGGATTGCATGACTTTAAAATGCGTTGGACAATAAAGGTTTAAAGTTTAAACCTTATGTGTCATTCAATGCCTAGTTTATCAGTCTAACCCCCTTAAGTTCAAATGTCCTCATTTGAGCTCTACCTGTGACTCTGGTGATGTGGGCTTCCGAGAAGTACTCTCACTACTCTAGCTACCATGGTCCTAACTTCTACGCCACTATCCTACCGAACCAGGGTGCACCGAGGGATGCATAGCTTTAGGTGGCCTCCACATTACGAAGATCAATGGCTCTGGTACCAATTGTAAAGCTCCTCTATCTGCTTTGGGCCAAGCCATGCACGGCTTTAAAACACATTTTAGAATAAAGGTCCAAAGCTTACATTTATATAACATTCCACACCCACTTCACCAAGTAATGTAGGCTTAGGTCAACACAGATACACATGGAATAAAATTTTTGAAAAAAAATAATGTATGCTACTCTTTGCTTTAAGGGCATGGTGAACCTTATGGTGGAGTCCACTGCTACAATGATACAATCTTGGGAGGCTAAAATCGAAAATGGAGGTGGCAATGCAGAAATAAAAGTTGATGAGGATGAGGAGTTTGTCAGCAGATGTGATCTCAAGAGCTTGTTTTGGAAGCAGCTATGCCCAAGGGGAAGAGATATTCTTAAAGCTCAGAACTCTTCAAACTGTCATGTCCAAGGGAAACATTGGTGTTCCTGGCTCAAGGTAAAATTACGTTTCGTTTACTCGGACATCGACTTCGAAACTTTCTTTTGGATGGCCCGGATCCACTAAAGCAATTGTATTGTTTGACCCAATGATGGCCTTTCTAATCTTATTCGTATTTCGATCGGCATAGCAGATATAACTCATTCACATTTCCTTAATTTGCTATCCTACCTTGGCAAGTTGCTTACATTATAGTCATTTTGCATAATAGTTATGCAAACTAGTTATATTAGTATCAGCTGAAAACTTGATGTTCAAAGCATGTCCATCCAGCTGAGTTTGACTGTCTCTTCAATGTTAATGTTCAATTATGCACAAGGACCATAATTTGAAACAATCAAAATGTTTCTGTTTCAGTGGAAACCAAAACCTTTAGTGGTGGACAATTGAAATACATATGATTCGGGGCTGTCTTGGGATGCTTTGGTATGTTTCGGGATGTTTTTGAAATACATAGACTTTCAGAACGTTTCAAAACGAAATATTCCAGATTTCTTCTTTGTTACATTCAGAAATGTTTATATCTCCAAGCTAATTGAAACTATGTGTCAAAATGAAATGTAATAGGCATGTACCAAGCAAAAATAACAGAGAGAAATGGAGACTGGAGAAAGAGATCAGGTCAAAGATATTAGAGGTAGTAAAAGGGCGTGGTGAAGGTACCTGTGAGAGAGATCTTTTACAACTTCTACTTGAGGCTGCCAAGAGTTTTACAAACATTGATGATGGTATTAGTCCCAGCAAGTTCATAGTCGATAACTGCAAAAACATATACTTTGCTGGCTATGGAGACCACTGCCCTCTCTGCATCATGGTGCTTGATGTTGTTGGCGGCGCATCCAGAATGGCTATCTTGTGCTCTCACCGAGGTGCTCGACGTTTGTAGCAACAACCTTCCAGATGCTGAAATGCTTCGAAGCATGAAAACGGTATGTTATCTAAACAGTTACAAATTTCTTTCTGAACATCAGAAGAGAACTTGCTTATCTTAATGTATTTGTATCTTTTGTAAGCATAAATTCTATTATTAGTCCACTAGGCTTGGGCATGCATACACATCAGCCGCACTAAAGCAGGGACATGAGTGCAGGGTATTAGTAAGATACAGTACAGTGCACCATGGTTTAAAGTTGCAATATCAATTATCGACTTGGAGAGTACTAAGATACACATAAAATATTACACAGAAGAACTTGAATCTAATGAGAGATTCAATACCATACTGTGATATGGCAGAACAATTTTGATTGATTCGATGATTATGATTTGGACGACTCGGGTTTGACTCTAGAATTGTCTGAAACTTGTGGTTTACACTAGCCANCATACTGTGATATGGCAGAACAATTTTGATTGATTCGATGATTATGATTTGGACGACTCGGGTTTGACTCTAGAATTGTCTGAAACTTGTGGTTTACACTAGCCAGTATAAGAGCAGAAGGCGGCTGATGTAGAACAAGTGGTTGTTGATTATTTGGAGCATGAAGACTGCCGTGCGTCCAAGGAAGGTGACTGTTGAGACAAAATGGCTGAGACTTAGAATTGATTGAAACCGGTGTTTGATCTGGATTGGGCCAACGATCAAAACTCATAACTTTGTCATGAACTCCTTTAGTTTTGGGTTGAATTTTATTGTTTAGACCCTCACAATCCATTTTTTACGGTTTTAGGAAAGAATTTGAAAATTAATAATAAGTTATAGGAGATTTCGAATTTAATGTCGTCAGTTATGTTGAACTCCAGACGACGACACGTGTTTTTATGTTAATTAATTAAATTATAATTTTTTGTTTTTGGTAATTTTCATATAATTAAGGATTTTACCATTATTATGGGTCATTCTTATAAAGATATTCTCTTGTTCCTTTTTTTGTAGATTCAGAGTATGTGTGTTCTTTACCCTTAGGATCATAGAGTTTTTCGTGTTCCTTTGTTCGGTTGTGTCAGTGTCAAACATTTCAATATCAGCTGATTCTTTGTTTTTAATATTTTTTTATTGATTCTTTTTTTTTTTTTTTTTTTTTGTTGCCAAAAATCTCATTTTTATTTCATTTGACGTTTTGCAGTTAAACATGGTGATTCAGGAGGCACCAGACCTGAATGTCAAAGGCATACAAGTACCAAAGGGCATCAACATTCATGTTCCAATACCAGTATTACACCAGCACCCTGACCTTTGGGGTGCAGATGTGCACCGTTTTAACCCGGAACGGTTCACTCAGGGAACCACCGGGGCCTGCAAATTCCCGCAAGCTTATATGCCATTTGGGGTCGGAACTCGCATCTGCGCAGGCCAACATTTTGCCATGGCAGAGCTGAAGGTGATTCTATCTCTCGTTTTGTCGAGGTCGCCTGCTTATCGACACTCCCCTGTGTTTAGATTGGTTATTGAGCCTGAACATGGAGTTTATCTCCATTTCAGAAGAGTGTGAGCTTTTCTAATTTATGTTGTTTGAGAAGATTTGGCAGGGAAAGGTGGTGGGGAAGAAACATGCTTATTTCTTTGCCTTTGCTTCTGTATATGTAGCAAAGTGACAAAAGGATTGTGATTGATATTTTATGTATGTTGTTTCAGATAGTGACACGTCAAGTTCGTGTTAATTATTAATTAATCATAATCCTATTATTTCAATTAATCGTGTCGGATGATATGACACTAACCAGATGTGTTTATTAATTTTGAGTTGAAATGCTCAAGCCCGAGTACTATGACCTCCTACTCTTTTAACCAAATTAACAATTAAGAGCATCTCCGTTCTCTAACAATATTAGCTAAAATAATTATTCAAAATATATTTAAATATTGTATTATTTAATTTAACTAACCATTTTTTTAAATTCACTTCAACAATGTTATCTATTTTAGTTAACCATTTCAACTAATTTTCAATAATAAAATTCAAAAAATAGCAATTCAATTATACATTTTACAAATTTAATCAATTATAGGCTACAATAGAAAACCCACCTCCCAAAAATTACTACTCTCAAATTAAATCACAAAATCCAAAACAAAATCACCTCAAATTACACAAATAACTGAAGTTAGATTTTTGAAAAAAATTTAATGAATTTTTAGAAGATTTTGTTGAATTTTTTGAGGATGTTGATGGATTTTTGGGAGAGTTTTCTGAATTTTTGAGGGGTTTTGGTGGATGTAGCTAATGAGAAGTGACTAGCTAGATGTAACTAGTGAAAATGGGGTTATGAGAAATAGATAGAAGAATAACTATTATGTTAGAGCCACATTTCAGGAAGAAGCTATCTAAAATAGCTAAAAAAGATATTTTAACTTGCCTTTTGGAGTTGCTCTAAGAGGTTTCCCATAGACAAAACACCACGACCAAATGTTTTTAAAAAATAAAAAAAGCTCAAATTCTACAAATATTCATACAATATTACATCAAGAATTTAATAAAAAAAAAACTTCAAGCATCAATAAAATTTTATAACGTGACAGCTAAACGAGTGTTTGTGTTACTCGTATTTAACATTAACCCGATCCATTCAGTATTCATGTTAATAGGCCATGACATTTTCAAATTTGTGTCAAATAATAATCAACACTAATTAAATTATTACATATTAGATTCGTGTCTTGTATTGCCACCCTATGTTTTGTATTGCCACCCTGTGTTTGTATTGGTGAGATGGTTTACGGCATGCATGTTTAGGAGAATCTCTATACACTTTCATGACCAGTCCCACCAGCACCTAGAGAGTAGTGTTATATGTACTGATTGTTTAGCAGTACTCCAGGTTTGAACCATACAAATCATTCCAGCAATAAATCCAGACCCAATTTTCTCTGATCCTTCGATAAAAACATTTATTCTCTTCATAAAAGATAAGAGATGGAATCAATCAAGGTTTCTTTTCGATTTGTCCCTAGAGTTGACCTCATTCAAGATCACTAGCTACATGCTCTAAATGTGCAGCTATGTGATTCTTTCTACTCAACTGTGACTGTGAGGGCACATCCACATATTCTAAACTCAAAGCTTATTACCTTCTGGTTTTCTCCCTTGTTGGTTAACATCATTCCCAGCTCCCCCTCTCTCTCTGCAGAATGGAGACAAACACACTTGACCTGTCAATTAGCATCCACTTGCAGAAATATAATTCATAAGTTCATTAAGCTACTACGATGATCTGGCAAAGGGTTTATACATTTACGAAAGGTAGCATCGAGCCTCAACTTACATCTTGAATGATCCTAAAATCCAACACATTGGTTTGAGAACTATAAAAGAATTATTTAATAGTTTGTGTGTTTTATCATAGATCCCATCTTATTAATGTGTAAAATTTAACCAAAAAAGCTACAACAAAAGAGGTATCAGCACTCCCTGTAAACTCATGTAACTCCTATTCATAAGATTGACTAGCGGTTCTCCAAAAGAAAATTCATGAGAACAAGGATCGGGTTCGATTGCGCTCCAGTCGAGCTTCCCTCTGCAGAAATAACAACAAAGTTCAGTATAACATATTAACATGTATAGACAAGATGTCATTCAGTTATTTTGACAGTTACTAAGTTTACCCTGTTGGTCAACAATATTCACCTGTATGATTATCTGCAACAAAAACATTTTAAGAGTGCTGTCTTGTGTGTAGATAGGGAGACAAAATAGAACTTGGAAAATTGCAATATTCCGATGTATTTTCATTATTAGATGCCAAGTGTAGGGAAGCAAATGTTTGGAAGTCTCAATTGTCTAAAAATCCTACAAACTCAGTATCATAGACGTCAACAAACATAAGCCACTTTTGGGCTGACCATCTTACCACAGAGGGTGTCAGAGAGAGAGAGGAAAAATAATTTGATCCCCTTTTATTAGGCACACAACGTATAGAAACAGCACTCAACGTCATAAATGTGGAGTATGCTACCACTAGATTTTTTTTTGGCTATCACAAGAAATCACAGAACAATCAACATATGCAACATGAAATGATATGCGAACTAAATTGTATTGTACAACAGAAAGAACATCCTTCCTTTGTTCAGTTCAAATTAACAGACACATCAAGCGTACACAACCCAGGCTGAGCAGGAGCCAGAGCTATTATTAGAGATTGCTAACCGTTTCATTGTGCCCTTCTCCAGATACATGGGCCCAACCATAAGCATGGCAGCCAAACTTTGGGACCTTCTAGATGGCATCATCCTAGTTTGAGATAAAGTCATCCAACCAAGACAATGCCTACAAAGGGAAGATGGGATTTGCCTTCACTATGCAACATTTCCATCACCCATGGTCCCAGTGAGGTAATATATTATGCTGATGGATTAACCAAGCAAGAATGTTCCCAAGTGTATCCATTTATGGTTCTAATTGTGTATTTTTATTAAAACGCACTCTACATAGGGTATATCTGTTACCACATTAAAGTAATTGATAATTTATTTCCTGCCTTACCCTTTTAACTACCAAAAATGAAAGAAAATGAAACATGCATTATTAGAATATTTTTATCAGTAGGTCCTTCTAAAGAAAATTTCACCAGGAAGTCTCCTGTTATGTTGCATGGAAGATGGAAACCTGAAATGTTATGCAGAAAAATTTTGTTGATCTAGCAGAGATAACATCATAATTTGAGAACACTTGGGTTCTCCTAGATTATAGTCAGAATGATAAAACAACAATTTAAGAGGTAGCCAGACTGGGATCCACGTTTAGCTTCTTCAGTCCACATCCTATAGAAGCTGATCAATGAGTAAAATCAAAGGGTAAAAAAACCACAAATTCCAGTAAATAAGAAATTTTATCGTGGAAGCTATTATTCAGATTCAGATTTGTGTATATATGTGGTACAAGGCATATTTTATATGTACCAAACACAAATGAAGCAATAAAATAAAGTCAATTCAGGATATGGTGGAAAAAAGTTCGGCTTCGGAAACAAAGTGGAGATGCAAAGTTGGAGGTCAATGCCTTCTTGTGGACAGAGCTAGAGTTAGATTTTACCTCGTCTAACCCTTCAGGCAAGTAGAAAATGGGGGTATACATGACCAACATAGGTTTTTATCCTTTCTTCTAAGCAAATAGTTATCCTATTGCATTTCAAAAAGTAAATATATATGACAAAAGAATTAAGAGTAAGTATTTTTCTTTTAGAAGATCCCAACAGGAAGGAAATTGTGCATATAAGAGTCATGAGACTCATGACACGTATAAAGAAGTGAATCAAAGGATGCCAACAAGGTAAATGCCTGCTGGAGATATGAGACCATTTTTTTCTAGATGACAATAATGAATTTCTTAATATAATACTACTATGAGACAAACACAACCACACGTAGGGCATCAATAAAAAAAATGAAGTATTCATAACTTACCTCTTTTTTTTTGCATTCCTTGTAAACATCAAAATGTTCTTGACATTTGCTCTTGTCAGAGTTAGACTCTAAACCTGAAAATTACGCTTTACAAGTTGATACACAGGTGATTGTGTGAACAAAAAATGTTTGCAACAAAAGGATACAGACAAAAGTTCTAGCCATTCCTTCAAGCTGAAATAAGATTTAGGTAGACCAGGACTTTAATATCCCTAAATGTCACTGCACACCACTGAGTAACCATCTACTGAAGAATACCAGAAATATAAGATTGATTTTTGGTGTGGCCAGCCAATCAAAGGCAGATCGGGCATAGAACTGTATTACAAAATTGGGGCTTAATTATGCTTTCATAAGGTAATGGATGAAGAAGAGAGAAGCTAGAATATTGGAAGGATTTGCTTGTAAGTTCAAAAATATAAACGCAATTCTTAATTATGCCTCAACAAAAAACGTTCTCATACTTTTCGAGAAATTACCTATATTTAATTTTTGTGCCAGGGGAGTCGGCTATTGTTAAGTCTGGACTCTAGCCACATGTTAATTTATTTAAGTGCTTATTGTTTTGCACCACTCTTACTAAAATTCTATTGAATTGGCTACCAAGATCACTTGGATTCCAAGCTTGAGTCCAAAAGTGATGTTTAACATTTTACAGGAACCAAGTTAATGAAAAAAGGATCGAAGCCTGAAGCAATGACTGACACAGTCACAGACCTTACTACCCAAGATGCATACGACTAGTTCAGAAGACATTTACAACTTTGCATAATTCATACTTTGACATGAGACTTAATCATGCAACGCTCCTACATGTCAAAGTCTTATTTTATCAAATCCGCTAATCAAGCTCTAGTGCCAGCAAATGCTAGATTGCTAGATGGTACAAATGTGAGCTAGTACACCATATTACATTAAAAATTCACATTTGCCAGAAGATCTTTTTTCTTTTACTTCTTACAGTAACATGTCTAGTTACGCCAATTTCTGATTAGAAAATCAAGGAAGACAAAACAAAGAAAATTATCACTAGCACAAAACATCATATTTACCAACAGATCTATTTTCTTTTACTTCTTTGAGTAACGTGCTTAGTTATTCCATTTTCCTATTAGGAAATCAAGCGAGAAAATACAACGAAAACTAATCACTAACAGAAATTTTACCTAACAAACAAATAAACGAGTATATTTCATATACAACTGAGAACTAGATACAGGTAAAGCACAAACCCTGGTTAACCCTTCTTCAGCATTTG